GCTGGCTTGGTACCCGTGCAGAGCCCTCGGTAAGCCCTGAGGTTGGTATTTCTTATTCTTCCCCGAGCTTCCCCCGGCCCGGTAGGCCGGGCAGTTCCGCACGCCGTCCCCGTCGGGTTTCTCCTACCGTTGCCTGTGGGGGAAGGTGGCGGCTGGGCTGGGCTGTGCTGAAGTTTGCATCCTGGCCACCTTCGGTGCTTGGGTATCAGCAGTGCGAGCCCTCCCGTCCTTTCGGTGCTCAAGGTGAGCTGTGCAGGAGAAGGAGGAGATCCTGCATGCCAGCAGGGCCGCAGTGAGGCCTTTGGATGTTTTACTGTCCAAAATTGTGCTAGCAGACAAAGTCGTGCAGTGTCCCCATAGGCACAGTCCGGCGCTCCTGAGGCTGCGGGCACGATTTGGTCTCAGCTAGAGGAGGTGGGAACGTGGGGAAGTGGGTTTCTCTGATGCTCCCTATTGCTTGATTTTAAATGCAGCAGACACCTTCCTGGGACACCAAGATTTTGCCTCTCCCAAGTGAGGGCAGGCGGTTTGGTGCAGAAACGGGTGGCGTTAGTGGCTCCAGGCCCAGGAGCACTAGCTGCTGCTTCTCTCCAAGGCCTGGACCCTTCCTCTCTCATAACGTCACTGGTATTTGCTGCTCACTGGTGGGTTTTACTCTTCTCTGACTGGATATCAAGTTTTACCAGACATCTTTAGAAAGAGTGAAATATTTCAGCGGTGTTTTTTTAGTGATGCTCTGTAGTAAAGCCACACAGCACTTCTGCTCTAGGTTCTTTGGCTCCAATGTAGTTTTATCCCATGGTTTGGTGAAAGGTTCAGCCAAGACATTGCTTTAATGCTTCTTTTATCTCCATAGAGAATATAGCTGTGTGCGATACATGCAGGTTCTGGATTTTCTTTGAGGATAGAATAATGTTAAGGGTAAACCTTCCCCTGAGTTCTCTGGCTCTTCCTAGTCTACAAGTGCTGCCTGGAGAGTGGGAAATCTCTGGGGTAACGTGCCTGATAGCCAAGAGCAGAACTGCTTCACGGGTGTTTCAGCTGGTGTGGGATCAGGTTGGGGGTTGCCTTCATCTCTGTAAAATCTAACACGGTAGTTTCTCGATTGCGCAGCATTTGGTGTCCCGCAGGCCATGCAGAGAGGCTGGTGTTCTCTGTTGGCAGTGAGGTGGTCTCCAGTTCTGGGGAGCTCCCACACGCTGGCTTCCTGGTAGCTTTGCAGGGATGTGGGAGAGTTTTCAAAGTGAGCTGTGGGGGAAGGTTGACTAGAGAGCTGCCTGTCTTTCTTTTGAGACCTAACATGAGCCGTCTTCTTCCTTGCAGAGGGAGCTGCTTCCTGGGCTGCCTCCCCTTACCCTTCGCAAATGTGAGGACGTCGTAGCCGGCACAGAGAAGGGTCTCCTCGTCAAGGTACTTGGTTCTGCCTCCTGTTCTTTTGTCCAAAAAAGAAAAAGCCAAACCAAATCACTCCGCAAAGAACTTTTGCCAAGCTAAGGAGGAGGCTGTGGAGTCTCAGTCGCCTCTTTGCTTCCCGAGATCCTGGCTGCAGGCTGGATTTTCTGCCCTCAACTTCAGGGGATCGGCTGCAGGGAATCAGGATCTTCTGGAATACTTTCAATTTTTGTTTTTACTTGACCCCTTTCAACCGAGAAGCTGAAGCTCTCCCTGCTAAAATCCCATTTTTTTTCCCCAAGCATGTCAGAAAGCTGGCAGCAGCAGCAGCAGCAGCAAGCACAGCCGCCGCAGCACCACGCCGGGGCAGCCGCCCTCCCGGAGCACTCCATCCCGCCCAGCACTGCTGACAACCCCTTGGGCTGTGCTGTCTACGGCATCCTGCTCCAGCCGGAGCCTGGCCTGCAGCACCACCAGCACGCCCCCATCCAGGCCGGAGAGCCGGCCCACAAGTGCGGGGTGTGTGGCCATGACCTCGCTCACCTCTCCAACCCCCATGAGCACCAGTGCTTGCCGGGCCACGACCGCTCTTTCCAGTGTACCCAGTGCCTGAAGATCTTCCACCAGGCCACGGACCTCCTCGAACACCAGTGCATCCAGGTGGAGCAGAAGCCCTTCGTGTGCGGTGTTTGCAAGATGGGCTTCTCCCTCCTGACCTCACTGGCGCAGCACCACAACGTCCACAACGGCAATGCCATGAAGTGCTCTATCTGCGAGAAGACCTACAAGCCTCCCGAGGCGGAGCACTCTCAGCCTCTCGACCCCTCCGAGAAGCCCTACAGCTGCTCCATCTGCCAGAAGACCTTCAAGCACCTCTCGGAGCTGTCCCGGCACGAGCGCATCCACACGGGCGAGAAGCCCTACAAGTGCACGCTGTGCGACAAGAGCTTCAGCCAGTCCTCCCACCTGGTGCACCACAAGCGGACGCACAGCTCGGAGCGGCCCTACAAGTGCACGGTGTGCGAGAAGACCTTCAAGCACCGCTCCCACCTGGTGCGCCACATGTACGCCCACTCCGGGGAGCACCTCTTCAAGTGCAATGTCTGCGAGCTGCACTTCAAGGAGTCGTCGGAGCTGCTGCAGCACCCCTGCACGCCCAGCGGGGAGCGGCCCTTCCGCTGCGGCGAGTGCCAGAAGGCCTTCAAGCGGCCCTCGGACCTGCGGCAGCACGAGCGCACGCACAGCGAGGAGCGGCCCTTCAAGTGTGACCTCTGCCAGATGAGCTTCAAGCAGCAGTACGCGCTCATGCGCCACCGCCGCACACACAAGGCCGAGGAGCCCTTCAAGTGCAACCTGTGCGAGAAGGGCTTCGTGCAGCCCTCGCACCTGGTCTACCACCAGCACGTCCACGGCATAGAAAACCTCTTCAAGTGCAACGTGTGCCAGAAAGGCTTCAACCAGTCTTCGGAGCTGCTGCGGCACAAGTGCGTGCAGAACGCGGAGCGGCCCTTCAAGTGCGCGGTGTGCAACAAGTCCTACAAGCGGGCCTCGGCACTGCAGAAGCACCAGCTGGCCCACTGCGCCGAGAAGCCCCTCAAGTGCACGCTCTGCGAGAGACGTTTCTTCTCCTCCTCTGAGTTCGTGCAGCACCGCTGCGACCCGGCCCGCGAGAAGCCCCTCAAGTGCCCCGACTGTGAGAAGCGGTTCAAGTACGCCTCGGGCCTCCAGCGCCACTGCCGCGTGCACACGGGCGAGAAGCCCTACAAGTGCCCCTCCTGCGAGAAGGCCTTCAAGCAGCGCGAGCACCTCAACAAGCACCACGGCGTGCACGCCCGCGAGCAGCAGTACAAGTGCATGTGGTGCGGGGAGCGGTTCCTGGACTTGAGCCTGCTGCAGGAGCACAGCGTCCAGCACACGGCCGAGGGCGCCTACCAGGTGGCCGCCTGCTTGCCCTGAGCCTCCCGGCCCTCGGCAGCTTTCGGCTTGCGTCTTGACGCTCCCGAGCCTCGGCCTCCCCCTCCTCTTCTTGGTTGTGGGTGGGGGAAAGGGGAGGTGGAAAGGTGGCGGGCGGGCAGGTGAACTTTTCCCCTGTGGTCGATACGCCACCTGTATCGCAGGGGCGATGGACGAAATGAAAAGCTCGAAGGGGCGGAGGGGGGAAGGAGAGAGGCGGGGAGAGGAAACGATGCCTGTAGTTGACTCACCTCCCGCAGACTGTAGTTCACGCTGTACCTGCAGTTTCAGTGCTGGGAGCTTGACTGCCCTGCACATGTGGCCTCTTTACCCCCACGCTGCCTGGCGGGGTTGGCGGGGGGGCTGGGGAACTCTCCTAGCGCTTGGGAGCGAGGTGGAGCCAGTCCACCCTCCTCCTGAGGTGCACTGCTCCTCAAGGAAGTACTGCTGGGATCTCCCAACTTCCTTGGTCCAAGCTCAGCGGAGAGGACCGTTTCAGATCATTAGCATCGATTGGCTGCCCCCCGATCCCCTGCTCTCCCCCTTTCCCTCTTGTAGAAAGGGAAAAGCCATGGGGCTGCACAGCTCCAAAAAGCACTTTGGCGTTGCTGCTTGAGCAGTCGCTGGCTGTCATGCTCTGCAAGGGCTCTGCGTGAGCCTGCCTGGCCCTGCCAGCAGCACTGGGAAGGCTTGTGGCAAGGAGAGCCTGTGTGCCCAGCTCATGGTCACAAGCCTGGCATTTAAGATCTGCTTCCTGAGGGACCTAGCTCTCCTGTCAAGACCTCCAGTCCCCAGGCCCCTTCCCTCTGCACCACTTGGACCGTTGGTGTACCTCCAGGGGGGTCAGGCAAAGGGCAGGCCCAGCAGTTGAAACACTAACGGGTGAGAAGAACACTACTAACCACTTAAAACTTGGGAGAGTAGCGCACGGTTGGTGTCTGATTTCCTGGGGGGGAACCCCAGTAAGCCAGGAGAATCCTTCCTGGCCAGTGGGCTCAGCTCAGAGGGGAGGAGATGGTTCGCAGTGGGTGAAGGAAGAGTGTTACTTTTTTTTTTCCCCCCACCTCTTGCTGGTGTCCTGTTTTACCCCTTTATTCTTTCTTTACCTCTTCTGTATTTTCAGGTTTTGCACAGTTCTTGTAAACATCACTTAAAAATAAATTTCCCCTAGCAAGGTCAATGCAGCCTCAGGTGTTTTCATCTGCAGGAGTTTGCTGGCTTCTTGTGACTGAGAGACCCATCACCTGCTAGGTAGATGCCTTGGAGGTTGAAGGTGTGCTTCCTAGGTTGCCCACCAGCCTCCTGTCACCAGTCTCTGTCTTTAGAGACACTAAGATGCTAAGCATCCATCTGTAGAGATCTTCAAGCCCTAACTGAACGTGGTCTTGGCTGGCCCTCCTATGAGGTAGGAGTGTTGTGACAAGTCCTAATGAGTGAACAGCAGCCAGTAGTGAGTTGCCCATGTGCTGCAAAGGTCGTTGGGTCACATTGAATGAATGTACATGGCGAGTATAGACAGGTTAACCTTGCAGAGAGTCGGGCTGTGTCTGCTTTGGTGGTAGGGATGCTCACCTGAAAGATGCAGAAAGGCTTCCACTTCCATCTCCAGCACGGTGAGGGGGGACAAGATGTGGTTTTAGGGGCTGGAACGATGCCAGATCTGACCCTGGGGCTGAGTCGTCTTCATGCACAGCTTTAAGGAGGTTAAAGCAGACCTTGCTCGCCGCTGCCCGAGTAAGAGGAACCGATGGTTGTCTTATGTCATGCTGCCTCAAAGATGTAGAACTTCCTACTGAGTTTTCTGTCTGCATTTCTTTTTATCTTTTATTTTTTTTAATTTTTTTTTTTAAAAGTTTGTTAATATTCATTAAAAAATATTGTATAGTTTAACTTGATGTCATAGTGGATCTTTTTGTTTAAAGAGATGTGATAACTTGGATTTTTAAGGAGCTCTTTGGTTCCAAGTAGCTGGTTTTTGCTGTTTAGCGTGTAGTAAGTTCAGTGTATGACTTACTGTAGGAGTAAAAACGGGGAGTAAAATCAAGGAAGGCTAATCCTGTCTTTACAGAGGGGCTCAGTAGTGACAGAGGCTGCGAGTATGGGACCAGGACCGGCCATGGAGCACAGCACCCACATGAACCCTCCTCTGTTCCTGCCTCGGGCTGCTCTCCTCTTGCCCAGAGCCACCCAGTGCAGCTGCTGTGGGTTCCACAGAGCTGGGGTTCAGTGGTTGCCCTGGCCACCTGAGCACAGCATGGGCAGCCAGGATCAGTGCCCAGAGCCAGGAGCCTGCAGAGAGGCTTGTCTGTAGTGGAGGAGGGTGTGAAATGGAGGCTGCTGGAGCCTCCAGGGGCTGTTGTGACTGGATTTCTTTCTGGATCAGCTGCCGGCTAGAGGAGGGAGTTTGGAGAATTCATTGGTATGGCCCCTGGGCGGCTTTGCCCTGCTCTCTTCCTTCCCCAGGGGCCCGGGTGACTGGACAGCCTCAGGTGCTTGGGCAGAGGACAGCAGTGGGCCCTGGACACAGCTGCAGCCCACGCTGGGCAGGGAGCTGCTGGATCCTGTCCCCTTGGTCCCGGCTGGGCACATGGACTGTCGGGGAGTGTTTTGGTAGGGAGATTGTCTAGCTGGAAACAGCTGAGCTGCACCCGGGCCGGCTGGGAGAGTGGGCCAGTCTCTGCTGCTGTGCCTTTGGGTCGTGGTTTGTACCATGAGGTGAGAGGTGATGGAAGCAGCAGGAGGCACGTGAGCATCAGGAGCAGGGTGAGCAGACGAGGTCTGGCCTGGGGGACCTGTGTCCCCTGGGCATCACACCATGAAGGGCTTTCCGCTAACTGCTGGTGTTTCCTTCTCAAACCAAAGAGCAGTTGTGGGAGCAAAATGTGTTTCTAACCTGTACCCATGTTGCACTTTGGTTCTAATGTTTATTTCAAGAGACTTTCGGGCTTCACGCTGCCTTTGCTTGGCCTCCCATCGCTCATGACCCAAGAGGGTTGTCGTGCTGGAGCCGGTGTTGCGACAGCCCCGTGGCAGGCGCTCAAGCCTGTCTTCAAGACCTAGTTGTCAGACCACCTGAGGACTCTCTGTAGGGCAGGGGGAGCAGATTGCCTCCTCACGAAGGGTTGTTGTCTTCAGCAGGCAGCTTGGGCATAAGATGCTGCTGGGGAGGTGGCAAGAAGGGTTAGGCTGGATGGAGGCAGCCTGTGTGTTGTCCAGGAGGTAAATCCTGCTCTTTAGGGCTGCTGTTCCTCTGGCTTCATGGGTCCAGGTTGAAGGTAGTCTGTTACCTGGGCTTTTTGCTGGTCTTCACTTCCCCTTTCCCTGCCTACAAGATGCCTTTAGCATCTGCCCCTTCCCCTCCACAACTATTTTGCTTATACTTCTGTAAAACCTTCTCGACTTCTTTGCCCTTTGTTCAGTTCTTTATTTGTAAGCAGTGTTTTGGTTTTCATCCCTTTTTCCACATTGATTGCGAGGTCTCTTCCCCCTTTCCCACCCCTCCAATTCCTCGCCCAGGGCTGAGGCTGGATCCAGTGACACCAAACCGCCGATGGATGCGGTCGCGTGTTTGGGACCTGAATCTTGCTGGAATCCAGCGAGTGCTTCTGGTCCTTCCTGCCACAAGGCCATGCACCTCTGGGCATGGGCAACGCTTGGCCAGGTCACCTCTGTGGTACAGTTGGCTCCGACTAGCGAGTCTGAGCCGCAGCAGACCTGTAGGAAACGGGTACCGAGGTGAGAGCAGGCCTTTCCACAGTGGGTCCCTTTGGCACACCTCTGAGGCTGGGGGTTAAGTCAGTGAAGGGCTGTTAGATGTTTCTAGGGAGCAGTCCTGGTGCAGGGGTGAGGCTGGACTGCTCTGTTCCCCCCAGAATGCCCGTGGAGTGACCGGGTGCATCGGGCAGGTGCCTGAGCTGAATTGGCTGGGGCATGGACACCCCTGGGACTGCAGATGTGCCCAGGTGGTCCTGCCAGCTCTCTGGACAGTAGACACCATCCCTGTGATCTGGGTCAGCAGATGGCTGCGCTCTGTTCTTGGGGTCCACCTCCTGGAATGGAGAGAGGGAGGCAGCGTCCTCTGACAGCAGTTTGGGACCATCTCTGGGTGCTCAAGCCTGGCCTTGCACTGTTAAGAGGGAGGAGAGCACTTTCCACACTTCCCTTGGGTATTTACCATCAAGTCCAGCCTGGCTATTAATAATAAGCAAAAAAAGCCTCATTGTTCTTCCGAGTTTGACCCTTCCTCCATTGGGTGGCAGGTTCACCTACGGGAAGGTTCCTGCACGCACAGGCCTAACGCTGAGATGCAATAAGAGCAGGCTGGCAAGGTTTGGGGCTGGTGGCTCTCCCCCAGGCCCTGGGGAGCCTGGCTTCTCCCCAGCTGCTGGGCTCCCTCCACAGCATCTCCTGGCAGCTGCCTTCTGCGCGTGAAGACGCTGCTCTTGCAGGATGCTCAGCACGGAGAGCAGGTGTGAGCTGGACTGTGGGCTTGTCTCTGAATGCCTCTGGGCCTTGGGGTCCGAGGGATTTCGTGGCCAGTGAGGTTCTTGGGATCCTCCTCACTCGCTCTCAGGCCTCTGGCAGAATTCCCAGGGCTGTGGGAAGTTGTGGCCAAGGATGATGAGGTTTGTGTGGCTTGCAGTGCCTTTAAACACTGCTCTCCGTGTGTTTCTAAGATGATACTCCATGTATGTGTGTATATATATTGTATTAACACACCCCGCTCTTCTGTGTGAGTGTCAAATGGTTTTGCTTTACTAATAAATTTATAGTTATTTATACCTTCCTGTGGGTGTGAAGATTTCTGGATCAGAGGCTGTGTGCCGGGCACCACCTCCCTCTCTATGTGCTTAGTCTGGCTCTGCTTAATACTTTTCATGTTATCTTTCCTTCCCCTGAACTATTTTGGTGGAGAAACGATGGTTCTTCTGCCTGGTAGCCAAAACTGGAGATGCAGGATATGGGCAGGCTCCCAGGGGCCGAAAGCAGTTGCAGGCAGTGTCTGCAGTGTGGTTTTGCCCCTCACTGCTCCCTCCCTGGGCACAGCTTGCTTGCTGCTGGGGCTTCGGGGCAGAAGCAGGCAGGAGTCTCCTGCTCAGGAGGCAGAAGCTGACACGTGTTGTGCTCCAAGGACCCCAACCCCACCCACAACTGTCTTGGCTTTCCCAGAGGTATTTTTGCA